TACCCCTAATAGAAACACAGACAGCAATAGGAATTTAACAGTGATTATAACCCTACCCCTCTCTGTCTAAAATGTTGAAAACGTTTGGCTGAAGTTCCACATTACATATGGCTTGAAAAAAACCCATCAGGATGACTATACATATACAGGGTTTTAGAATCATTGGGCTATTATGGATTGGAGTCTGCATTTCTGCCTCTATGTTCCAGATAATTGCAAAGAGGTAAAAAGTTTAAGAATGTGGTAACTTTTTACTACTAGGAGTCATTACAGATTACACATAAACCCCATTCATCCACATCACATTCTAGGTCTGTCTATCATTTTAAAAGAATACCCTATTTTTAAGGGGTCTTCATTGCATAATTTCCTTATCGAAAATTATGTACAAAGTTATCATCTAAGTCAAATCCCATTTTTTTCTCAATCAGCTCTCCATATAGCAGATCTTACATATAGCAGTGGTGTATGTTTACTAACTCTAGAATGGCTCCAATAGCTAATCTCCAACGTAAGGCTTGTCCCAGGGCCTAAGTAAACCTCCAGCTCCAGAAACACCACCCACAAACAATTGCACTCTGAATACATTTAGAAACAAATCTAATGTTGCATAGGTGCTTTGACAGCACTCTTGGGCTCACCATATACAAGTAAAGGATTGTCTTGTCTTCTCATGGCATTTGCTGTTCTGTAATAAAGTTATTTTAGAGTGCTTGACTTAACCACAGGTTTACTTTAAGGATGAGGTTTGTGTTCATCTCCGGGTTGTGGGTGAATTCTGCAGGTTTAAGATTCAGAGTCTCGTAAAATCTTTGTGCCGATTCACCCAGGAAAATATTTTTTAACCACAATGCACTGAATTACATTTGAATTATGGCCAGCAGATGTAGAAGGGCCAATGAGGATAAGCCAGCCACTCACTATAAATAGGGGAACACAGAGAAGCCAGATTGTCAGTGAATTGGAAGCAGTTGGGGGGAAAGCATACGAAAAGCTGGCAAACTGCATAGGGAGAGATTGGGGTCAGTTAAGAAACTATACTTTGATACTTATACTATATGATACTTGAAACTATACTTATACTGTCCAACTAAGGCTTTACCTTGCAAAATGATTGGGGCTGCAAGTGGATAGTAAAGACTGCTTACTGTGGCCAGGATACCTATCTGTGTGAATAGTTTTACTTCTCTAGACACTTGAAAAATAACACTGTCTGTCTGTAGATTCCAACTTACTCCTAAACTCCATTGAAGGGGCAGAGGATCGACATCTAGAACAAGGTCTTTTAACTCTTTAGCTCTGTCATCTGCAGGAAATGCTTTCAATTCTGAGCTTTTATTGAATGCCACCTTGTGTAGCTTCAGATTCGAATCTGCAAGCATCTCCCTAGCCCTAGTAAGAGACTGACTGCTTCAGCTTCAGTAGGCACAGAAATGAACTCTGTAATTTCTTTGCTAAGGTCATTGTCTTGAAACCAAAGGAACCTCAAGTAGTGGCAGTGCCCTTCTCTAACCAAGAAACAGTAAAACATTTGCTGCACATCAGCAGTAACGGCAGCTTGTTCTTTGCATGATCGTATAAGAACACCTAACAATGTATTATTCAAATCAGCTCTGCTAAGAAGTACATAATTCAGTGAAATATCTTCATACTGAGCACTAGAATCAAAAACTATTCTAATCTGCCCTGGTTTTCAGTGTGATAAATGGCAAAGATTGGTAGGTACCAATTTTTCTCCCCTAGTTTCAATGGTGGGGCAGGTTACGCTTGATTATGGTCAAAGATCTTTTGCATAAAGTTAACAAAATGTTCTTTCATTTGAGATTTTCTCATGAAAGAACGCTGTAGAGCAAGAAGTCTCTTCTGTGCTTGCTCCCTCTTGTTTGGCAGTTTAGGGCATGATATGCGAAATGGCAGGGTGCTACCCAATGATTTGTTTGATCAACAAATATCTATTTTTCTAGAATATCAAGGAACATACTATCTTCAATGGACAGAGCAGGTGTGTCATCATTTCGTGTTTTAACAAACATGTTATCGTCTAAACTGTCCATGCTGCAAGTTGCAGTTCCTAAATAGCATAGTGAGAGGGTACAAGACTGTTGCTTGGAAGCATTAAAGGTCTCTTTTACATGCATATAGCTGGTGCATGGGCTGAATAGAGAAGTGTGTCCACTAGACAGCACATTTGTTCCACTAGGCAGCACAAGTTCACATTTGCTGGTATGTAAGCTCCGCCTAAGCATACTTCTCCAACTATGACCCAACCTAAATCTATACGTTGTGGATAAGGAGTGTTATGGGATCCATTAATCTGCTCATGCACCTTGTGCACTCTCAAAATATCTCTTCCTAGCAAGAGAAGTATTTGGGCATTAGGGTCAAGTGCAGGGATATAATCTATTAAGGATTTCAGATGAGGAAAATCAATTAGATTGTCTTTGTTAGAGATTTTGGGGAAATCTTCTAGTTTCTTCAAAATAACATTTTCAATAGCTTCAGGACTGCCATAACAGTCTTTTAATCTCTGCCATGCCATTTTAACCCCTATCCGATTAGGAATGTGCACTGACCTGATTCTCTTGGCCTGTCGAGATGACTCTGGTCCGAGGCACTTTGTTAGGAGATCTAGCTCTTCTCTGGCTGTAAGGTTCAGATCGATGGTGATGACTTCGAATTATATCTTCTATGCCCAATAGTTCACAGGGTGATCATCAAATGTTAAAAGCCACGTGGTCACTAATTCTCGATGAATTAGGTGCTTTGCTAGATCAGTTGTCTCTGATAAACCTGAAGGGCCATTTTTCAAAGAGGACACATAAAAACCCATGTCATGTGATGGATGCCGAGGATTAGCATAGTCTTTGGTTTCTTGAATGTGCACCTTTAGCACTGAAACATTTTTGCAAGCCACCCTCTAGAAGTAAGGACATTGTCAGCGCCAATTCAGAAAGGAATTAAGGATCTACAGTTGAGTGATACACAAATAAGCTACATTTTTTGTTAATAGTTAGGGTACTTGAATGCATTTTTATTTTAGTTTAGAGTCACTTTAATGTTGCCCTTTAAGCCACATTGAATGGTATTTAGTTTACATTTGTTTGCATTGATACATGTCCTCCATTGCAGTTCCCCATCAACCATGCCCTTTTTTAACAATATCTTGCCTATTAGCCTTGAAAAAGGCAAGACTAATAGCTAGATTTGCCTCCCATAGTTCAGTAGGCTTCAGTGCTAAGTTTGGGATTGGCAGACTTCCCACTGGGTTTAGCAAATCTGGCTTAAGTCGAACCCAGCCAGGTTTACTCATCCCTCCAGCCTAGTAATGAAAAGGCTAGTAGCTTCTCGCAGCTACCGATTAAATTTAATCTCACAGGCTTCAGGATAAACACTCCTACCACCCTTCTAATGACCCTCTATAGAGCTATAAGTACATTTTCTGCAGAGAATACCACATAACTGCTATAAAGGAGTGAACTTTCTGGATTTTGCAAAGTTGCTGTGCTTTATGGCTATCTGTAGTAGTTCAGTAAATGCTTTACCTTGTTGTCTGGAATGTATCTTTCTGTGGAGCTTGTTGATTACTGTAAAACTGTAGAATTTGTAAGTGAGTATACCAGAGGAGAAAGAATATTTGCTGCTAGTAAAATTCAACGTTTATGCAGCACATGAAAACAGACTTAATTCTGACAGATGAAGACTTTTTTGTTTACACTACCAGAGCTTACAGTTTTCATTTGCTGTTTGGAAATCTCATTATTACTAAAAACTGCTCCAGAAAAGGTACGCTAAAAAAACAAACCTGTAACCTTCTTTATTAAATACTTTTGACTGCACTGTTTAAAAGAAATCCCTTTTGGTCTACATTTCTAAGTATTTCTTGTTTCTTTATATCTGAGCATTGCAGTGAATACATTAATATATTTTTTACTTTAAAGAATTGTGGCTTGCTTTAAAAATTGAAAAGAACACTGGCAGAAGGGATTCACATACATAAAACAACCGTGCATTTGTATGATAAATTACAAAAACATATTCATCTGTTGAACTCTTTGACCTAAACTGAACCAAACTTTAAAACACCTAAAACATTTTTAAAAAATCACTAGCTATTGATTCATCGTGCAATAAGCCTCCTTTCATTGGTCAGATATTAGAGCTGCTGTTTTTAAAGAGTATACAGTAGATTGCAATAAAAGGGCCCAGAATAAGAGATGATTACATTGTGGGTCTAGTGCGATCATAATGCATTGGTACATTTAGAACTCTATGAGCCTTAGATTCAATGAAGGGGTGAAAATAGCAGAATGCACATTGAGCAGCAGCAAATTGTGGGAGTAAAAGCGATGTATCAGAGGTGACTTGGGGCCATAAATTAGTAGCGGCAGGCCAGCAATGGATTCGATTATAGTAATTTGGCCCACAAAACAAACACACACAAATACACACACACAATAAACTGATTACAATATGCAGGTAACAAATGGGCAATTATTACAGTACGCAGGCAACAAGCATGCAATCATTACAATATGCAGTCACAATATGGGCAATCTTTACAACATATAAACAACAAACAGACAACCATTAAAAAGCACAGGCATCAAACGGACAGTTGCTACATTGACTATTCAACAAGCAAGCAATCTTTACCATAGAAGAGCAAAAAACAGACAATTGTGACAAGGAGGTGATTAAATGCAGTTTCCCTCAAACCTCTTTTTTTCCATGAATACTGTCCTCCAGCTGCATGTAGCTTCTACGTCTGGCTACACACATACTCCAAGTAGCCAGAGGGAGAAGTCGGAAGAAGAGAGCAGAGTCCATGTTTCTTTCCAGCTCTCTCTGCCTCAGCTTGCTGTTTGGCTTCTGAGTAACAGAATCATGGTGCTGATGTCAGAGTAGTAAACCAAACTGATTAGCCAGAATGTCTGGGCCAAATCTAGAGAGTATAGTGTATCCACATATAAATTTAAAAAGGTTTGCCCTTTTGGATTTCTTTGTGAATGGCTCCTTAAATGTTACGCACTGTTTATCAAAGCAGAATATTAAAAAAGTCAAAAGCTGAGGTCAAATTTTTTTTTTTTACATTTTGGACAGAGAAAGGGAGGGTTATAATGCTTGTCAGGTTTTTCTTCTGCCATATGTGTCCCATTTGGACAGTGTCCCATTTTCCTCCACTTCCTGTCCCATAGCCACAGCAGAAACTGAGAGGAAATCCTTTTAAAGTTAGGAAAATCTCTGTTGTCACTAGTGTCACCAGAACTAGTCTTGCCCTTGGAAGATTTCCCTTCTAACACTGTTCTGGTAGCAACTCAAAATTTGGAAATTTCTTTCACTTTTGATAAAAGTCATCTGGACAAAATGGAGGGCTAGTCTCAGTAACGGAAGCAATAAACACTTCGACACAATGTATTAAAAGCAGAGGTGTTGCTATCATATATTAGAAGTAAAGCTATATGGAATCCCCACTGCCCTGTCAAGGCCCCTATGCATAGTGTGGTCCCTAATCTAACAAAACCTCAAACCTGGTATATACACAGGCAGGTGTGTCTGGAGGTAACCAAGTCTTCCTTAAAGGTGCAGATACACACTAAAAGCCCTGATTTTGGGCACTAGTGTGAGACAGGATGTTGAATGTTAGCAATAAAGACCCAAAATGTGTTCTAATACCTCTCCACTCTGTCCAGAGCTAAAAACAGTTTTGGCTTTAGTTCCACTTAAGTCAGTATCTTAAGTGAAGTTGGTTTGTCTTCTGCTCAACTAAAACAGCCCCTTGCTGTATCAAGACATTTCATCAAATTGCCAGAGATCTGCTGGCATGTAGCCCTGCATTTCTGTTAAGTGCCATGCTCTTTTCTCCAGTGAGCCATGGCTAATGCAAAGAGCTGTATCTCCACTTTTAACGAGTGGATAAAATGTGGGTGCAGCAATAAAACCCCCAGAATTGGTGTTCAATAGGTGTAGCAATAAACCCCCCCATATTGGTGTTTAGTGGGTGCAGCAATAGAACCCTAGTTTTGGTGTTCAGTGGATGCACCACTTATTCACAGCAAAGTTGTTTAGTGGGTGCAGCAATAAAGCACCAGTATTGGTATTCAGTGGGCGCAACAATAAACCTTCAGCATATGTGTTTAGTAGATGCAGTAATTAACTCACAAAAGTAGTAAAAATATTACCCTAGATGTATAGAATTCCTACTATCTATTACTCTAATACTACTAGGGAGGCCCATAGTTAGTGGGATTGGTTCACAACATTTTAGGGTGGGAGAATAGATAGAGTCTTATTTACAGCCATTAACTACCTAAACTAGGGTCTTTCTGATGAATAGTAGGGATATGACACATTATTTGAAAACGTAGAGCTTAAAGTGACATTAAAGTCACAACCCCCTCCCCCCCCCCTTTAAGGACTTACCTTAAATGATGCTTCTTGATCTGATCATCTTCTTCTTTCAAGTAGTTTTCAGGAGTCCCTCCAGCGATGGTGCCAGTCTCTGATCCAGCGGCAGACACCACGGGTCCCGCGGTGTCTGTCCGACGTGTATTAACCTGTCTCTCCTCTTCCCTCCACTGAAGCTCTATACTGTGCATGCAAACGCCCCATCATCCTCCATGGCCGATAGAAAAACTACAGATCTACAGATGGGAGCAAGCGGCGGAGATACAGGTAAGTATTTACCTAATTTGTCATTTTTAAAATATTTTTGCATATACTGTATCTACTGCTTGCTAGCAGTAGATATATGTACAAAAACAAGTCGCTTTAATACTACTTTGAGGAAGATGTATTGTTGGTTACAATTGATGTAGTATATTTACATACAGACATTCAACATAAATATTGTTTGGAGGCAAAAAAGGGGCACTTGAAAATCTTGAAGAGGTGGATTGTGAACAAAGGGGTTTCATCTTAAAGTGTTTAGATTTTGCAGGAATAAAGTAGGAATTATCTTTGTCACTATGGGAAGCCTTACATACAAGTGAAGGGTGTAGCTACGGGGGCTAAATGTGACCCAGTCTTGCTTACCCATTCATGGCAAAGTGGGAAAAAGAGGAGATTTTTGGAAGACAATGGGATGGGTTGGTCCCTTGGAAGAGGTTTTAAGACAATGTACTGGTTTAATAAGAGGAATATTTTAAAATTAGGGTTGCACAGATACCAAGTACAGTACTCGGTACAAGTACGAGTGCATGTACCGATACTTTTGAGCTCCAAGACTATACTAGAGAAAAATGCAAAAATTAGGAGGCCACTGTCATTGGTAAGGAGCACACGGAGCTCCTGGGATGTGTACATCTCTGTTTTAATGTACGATTTTGTTTTTTTAAATAGAAATAAAGGGATGCACAGATACCAGTTTTGCGAGTACGAGTACTGGTACTTGTCGAGTACTTACAAGTACGAGTACTGATACATTTTTGTTTATTGTCATGTGACAGTTTTTCTAAAACAATACAGACTAATGATTTCAGGACAGTGGTGGAGCGCCAGAGCCAGGTCCCAGCTGCAACCGCTGCAACCATGGTAGTTGTCATGAAAATGCCAGGTATCGGCATTGGTACTCGAAAAGTATCTGTGCATCCCTATAAATAATAATAGGTATGGAATATAATTTTTTTTAAATAATGTTAATAGAGATAAAATATTTTTTCTGAATCTAACCTAATCTTTTTAAGTATAGAGGTAACATGTGTACTAGTACATAGTTTATACCCACAGATAAAAATGGGTATACCAACCTCTAGTTACAAATACCCAAGATGGACTGGCAACATTCCAAAGGGGCAAATTAAATGGATGAGGAGAAATGGCACTTAAATAGTGATTATTCAGATCAACGTGAATTATTGATTAATAGGCTTAACGAAAACAGGTATGATGGCAAGACTATGAAAAGGGATTAGAAAAGAAGTGGGGAGGGATGGATTGGAAGAAACTAATTTATCCAGGAAAAAAGAAGGAAAAACAGAATTGAATGGAGCTTTCTTTTATTGCAGATTTCAGTTACCACTATTGGTTTATTGAGAAGATCTTAAAGAAACATGGGCCTCTTAGAGGGCGAAGGTTTAGGTGATTTTGCCATCTGTGCCAGGTGGATTAATAAATATGTATATCAACTTTTATTTTGGAGTGTGGCTTCCTTTTCCTCTACAATGATTGCACATACCTAACAATTGCTGGGATGGCACAGGGGCAAAAGTGTCCCTACTGTGACACACATGCTAAGATCTGATTGCACAGTGGTAGTAAAAGGACCTACCTGATCAGATATAAACTTAATGGAATACTTAGGTAATCTCCTATGCTAGATAGTAAATACATTAACGTAGATTGTACAAAGATTGTATCAGACTGTCATATGGGTGGCCATTTTATGTGTATATTGCTGTATTTCCGTATTTGTGAGAAACATTTTTTTCATTTCTTTCTATATTACACTTAGGACATAACATTTAAACACTTAAAGTGAAATCACAGTGTATTTTCATTGATTATACATTTTAACCTATTATGGCAACTGTTTTTAAATTTAATTTTTATTTAGCTGCTGTTCCATATGTTGTAATTCACACAGACATTTCAAAATATTTTCTCTAGCATATCCATGCATATCATAGAATATAATTAGCATTTCCTTTTTAAAGCAAACCTATGAGCTTTATTACATAAACTATCATTTGTAGCATAACACAGTAATCCAAACAGATTAGTCAATCTGTACTTTTGTACTTTGTACAGTTATCATTTCACTGACCCTCCCCCAACTCAGTGGGAAGGTTTAAGGATAACTGTAGAAAAAAAAAAGTTAACTTTTGAAGTGTACCTAAAGCCAATTTCTTTTTCATTTAGAAGATCATAGGAAATAGACCGAATCTTTTCTGGCTAAAACTCCATCTTACTATCTCTGTTCCCTTGGGGATATTTCTCTTGTGAACACAATAGGAAATGAGAGGCAATCTATCAAAATGAGGAAAATCCCCTTTCAGACAGTTGTCAGCAAACAAGTATCATGGGAAAATTGTCCCTCTATTCTTATTCTGGTAACAACTCACAATTTTGGATTGTACCTAATTTCTAGTCCCAGTGACAGTGGTCATCAGGACAAATAGAGAGTGAATGGGCACAGATCTAAAAAAGTAACAACAGGATTTTTTTTTTTCATTTCTAATGCCCACTGGTGTTTAACTCAGAATGTTTACTCAGTTTACCTTAATCTGAAATCTGTGGAATACACTGCAGTCAGAATACATCCCAAATCACTGTTTAAATTCAAACATTTTTTTTATATATTCCCTTATCAGATTCTCAGGGCTTCAGTTATTTTACCTTTTTATCCTAAAAAGCTATTGCAGCAACTATTCAAAAACATGAATTAAACCTTTCATGAGAGAAAATGGGGCTGTCATTGCCAGCTGCTCCCTTTGGAAATTCCAGTTGCCCGGCAGTCATTTTGACCATCTTGCTATCATTCACTAACCCAAGCAGGTATGCAGATAAGGACCTTCGATTTTACTCTTACATGCCTGGTCTTCTATAATGTTACAGTTTAGTGACTCAGACCACTTAAGCCATGGGAAATCATATGCAACTCGCCCTTTCAGAAAGTAATTTCTAGCAGTCACCCTTTCTCTTAGGAAAGTTTTACTTTAGGGTAGTTTCATGCATCATGCAAAGCAGGACATCATTAAAACACACATACACATATTAGATAAATTGGTTTTACTTTCATGGTTCTAAGACAGAAATATTCAGGAGCCAAAATGTAAAAAACTAAATAAAGTTTAAAAAAATTATATAACATACAACACAGAAGTTGTCATCAAGGAAAATTTGAAACCTTGAATGAATGGTTTACTATTAAAATTCTGTGAGTTATGCTACATCCTTTAGGGCAAGACACAAACTAAAGTAATAGGTAATAACATCACAGCTTGTTTAATAAAAAAATGTTGACAATAATAACAATCTAAAAAGTACACTTGCTTACACTGTATTGATAAATGTATGGGAAAGCAATTGCTATTGTTAAAAAATAACCTTCTTTGATTCTAAACAGTTAACTTTTATTTGTCAGGTGAATTAAAGTATATTTGATAGGCTTGTATGATCATGCTGGTATTGCAGCATAACAAATATGACCACTTTCGTAAAACTTGAGCATGTGTATGAATGTGTACTCCAAACACAGACACTCTGTGCTCGTGGCATACAATTCATACTCATGTGTGAGTTTATGAAATTGCTGGCATAAATCCATCACACAGCCTCGTAAAGCAATTGATGACTATGGGTGGCTGTACACATCACCTATTGGCTATGCAGGTGGAGACATATGCCCAAATTTTACATGTACATCCCCATGTACCCATGTGCATGATATCTAAATTTATTTTTATATAAAAAGCAAGAGATGTATTAATTTGAAGGTTATGTGCAGGTATGCATGAACACAAATTTTTAAAATCTTAGTGCTTCTCTTTCTTTCTTTTTCTTTCTTAGCAAGAAGTGCTTTTCATTGGTCAGCACAGCCAGGCCTGGCATTTTGATTGTAACTGATTATGATAACCCATTACCAGCTAGAAGTAATATTGTAATTAACATCATACAGAAATATAATAAATAGTTTATATAAATACCAAGGGATGTCTGATATATAAAGGTAAGTGTCATGTTGCTCTTTATTGAAACATTCCTTAGTTTAGTTACTACAAAACCCTGGCTGTGGTATAGACAAATAAAAAAACGCAGGCAAAACATATTCAACATTAAATGATAAGTCACATCTATTACTTAAACACTATGTTTATTTTTTAACCCCAGCATTCATCAATACAGTGCACATGTTAAATAAGGAAACTTAAAAAAAAGCATTAGCTTGACATTATAACATGAAATATCCACACACTGTACATTTTCAGTACACACAAGATTTTAAAATTATATTAAAAAAGAGTGCAATTTCTTTCATTAGTTAAAGGCTGGATTTCGTACGCCACATAAAACCAAGCTGTTTTTCTTTCTTCTGTTCAAGAGGACAAGAGAAATAATGAAAAAACCAATGCTGGTGACACCGAGAATTACTACTCCTGAGATGAGCGCACTAGTCACCGAGTTCATTTGGAACGGAGGGCTTTGTGGTTGAGCTGAAAAATATGCAAATAAAAAGCTATAGTACACAAAACGAATACATGAGCAATGCTCACTATGCCTGCAGTCATGCCCATCACACGACCATCTCACATGCATTGTAGTGGTTGTAGTTTTTTATATATAGCCTGTTACAGAATATATTGTAATACCCACAACTTGACTGTAAAAGCATCTGTTGAGCGAAATTCCTCTGTTCATGCCTATGTGCATTTTTTTTCTCTATTTATATTAAATACCGTGTTTTTCCTTTATAGAAAATGACCCGTGCTTCCAATAAAACTCTACCGTGTTAAACCACCACACACTCACCAGAGAGTTTTGGAAGGAGACAGCAATAGAAATCCCTTTCCTTAAGGTGCTCATAAACCTGCCGATTATCGGCGGGTTAGTGGCATGCTCAGGAGACAAATGCCGAATGGGCCGGTGTGCACAAGCACACACTGCCCGCTCAGCATTGGATTTATCGGAAACACTCCCCTCAGCGGGGCGGGCTTGCGATGATCGCAAGTACGATCTGCCTGTCCAAGATGGGCAGATCGTATGAGATTTTGATTACCTTACAACCATCGCATAACGAAAGTCGTGCCATGGTTGTAAAGTGTATGGGCACCTTTAGATGTGAAAGTGGTGAAAGGAGTTTGTTTAACAAGCACTTTTGGCTCATCTGTAATAAGGTGGCTAATGACAGCTGGTGATTGCGCGATTGCGAATATAACACTTTATATTGTTTGCACAAAGGACACATGGACACATCACTATTTATTGCATGTTTAATGTTTGATGCACAGCACAGAATAGAGATATTTATTATTGCATAACTTATTATATTAATATTTACTGTTTTCTATAGTTATAATGTATTTATTGATAGCCCAGAGCTGCTCATTTAAACAGTTTGTAGAGGTGCACAAGTCACTATTTTGGCACAGCTGCTTAGACACAGGAGTTTTAACACAACTGTAGCGTGGTGATTTTTTAAGGAATTATACCCCCTAACCTGTGAACATTAAAACAGTAAGCAAAAGTCTATGCTTCCTCCAAACACTTGTATCAGAATGTTGTGCTTTCATATAGAATGTTCATACCAAAATAAATCCAATATTTGTAACTATTATTAGCATGAGATTGGCTCACAATTTAACTCCCCATCCTGCCACCCAGCCATATTCTTCTGCCTGGCATGAGCATCTGTGGTTGCTGGAAATAGCCCCACCTCTGCTAGCAATGCCCCCTGATCCCATTGGTTGGTGGCACTGCAGCCTGGGTGGCATCCTCATTGTAAGGAAGTGGGTCAGCTCCATCTGCTTAGCTTTCTGTATATTGATTGGCCTGGCAGCAACACCCCTAAGTTCTTTCCCTGACCCCTTATGACTGTGGCACTGTGGTGCCCTATTTAAGCCTTAGAACCCCAAGACTCTGGGCCTGTGATAACACTTTGCAACTTTGCTCTTGTACCCTGCCTTGCCTTAGCTAGATACCCTGGCACAGCCTGCCACTCCCAGCATCTGCCCCTGGTGAGACCCTCCACATTTACCCTGCTGAGACCCTCCACATCTGCCCTGTGTCAATCCTCCACATCTGCCCAGCTGTGATCCTCCACATCTGCCCCTGGGAAGACCCTCTGCATCTACCCTGATGTGATCCTCCACATCTGCCCCTTGCGAGACCCTCTGCATCTGTCCTGCTAAGACCCTACACATCTTCCCTGCTGAGACCCCCCACATTTGCCCCTAGTGAGACTCTCTGCATCTGCCCTGCTGAGACCCTCTGTGATCCCTGCTGTGATCCTCCACATCTGCCCTGCTGAGACCCTCCACATCTGCCCTGCTGAGACCCTCTGCATCTGCCCTGCTGAGACCCTCTGCATCTGCCACTGGTGAAACCCTCCGCATCTGTTCTGCTGAGACCCCACACATCTGCCTCTGGTGAGACCCTCTGCATCTGCCCTTGCTGAGACCCTCCACATCTGCTCTGCTGAAACTCTCCACATCTGCCCCTGCTAAAACCCTACGCATCTGCCTCTACTTAGACCCTCCACATTTGCCCCTTGTGAGACCCTCTGCATCTGCCCTGCTGAGATCCTTCACATCTTCCCTGCTGAGACCCTCCACATCTGCCCCTGGTGAGACTCTGCACACATGCCCTGCTGGGATCCCCACATCTGCCCCTGCTGAGACCCTCTGCATCTGGCTTGTGGAGATCCTTCAGATCTGCTGTGCTTTAAATTTTGTATGACTTCAGCTGCCGTAAGATCCTGCGCTTGCTAGGGACCTTGTGGCAGCCTGCTGGGGACCTCGCCGTAGCTGTTTACAGCACCAGTCAGAATGCATATTTTCTCCTCCTCTTTCTTAACATCCGTACAGCCATGGGGAGACCCACAGATGCCCAAACAGCACTTGGGAGACCCGCTGCTAGATATGTGCATGGCATAAAAATTTGTTTTCTGACTAAACGAATGGAAATGGAAAACATTTTAGTGTTTCAGTGTTTTCTGTACTGCGCTGTGTTAAATGTCATAACTATAGCAATGTATAATAATATTAATGCAGAAACCGAGGGGGCCCCCCATTGGAGGAGGCATGGATGCATGTGTTGATGGTCTCCTGAGCAGGCTTTGGAGTGGGAGAGGGGCCAAGAAAAAATCTTGCACCAGTGCCCTTTGTTCTTTAGGTCCACTGTCACAAACCTTATTTTAGACCCAGTAATGTTATCACTGGGTCTGTGGGCCTTGTTCGGAGAGTCAGTAGATGTACATAGCTTATTTAAAATCACATCATTAATAATGAGTGGGGCGACTCTTGGGAGGAGAAATAATAATAAAATAAAAATAGAGCAGTATATAGCCAGCTTTAGGTTAAAGTTGGAGTTGAGCCTTAAACCCTTAATCTCTGAGTCTTAGGGGGTGATTTACTAACCTAAACACACACACACACACCAGGTGTGTGTGATTTTCACACAGCAAAACGTATTTATCAACCAAAAAGTCTCTAAAAGCATATTTCCACTAATGCCATATATGGAAAAATCATGCACATGATGCATATATAATGCTGCTTCACAGTTTAGACAAAAATGGTTAGCTCATGCATTTACATTCCTTGCATTCATCAACGCAAGCAACACAACATAGAGCTAATTTACCCAAAATCACCTTGGAATTCATTCAGGGCTTTGCACAACACACCTGCTGGGTGTGTACACATTACAAAGGTGTTTAGATTCCACCCATAGATCATGCTGGGAGGGAACACACTGCAGAGGTGTATACACGTTCGTGGTGTGTTTATAAGGTTAGTAAATCAACCCCTTAGCATCGCTATAACTTAATCTTTGACCTAGTTAATCCTAAAGTCTGATTATTACCCAAACTATAAGGCTGATACTTTATACATTAAAAGTACTGACTCCCAAGCATACCACTACCATGCCGACTATGACCAGTGCTGAAATTCAGTACAACTCTAGAACTCGGATCTGTCTGAAAATGACTATCTCAGAAGGAAGTGATTTAAAGCTGAACTCCTGGCAGATGAATAGAATTCCAGTGACTGTAGTTCTGTATTTTTTTATTTTAAATGCAACTAGCATAAATGCCTGAATTTTACGTCAATTCAGCTTCATCTAATATTCTGTAAAAAAAACAAAAAAAAAAACAACAACACTGAGACTAGGAAAGGGAGGCCCAGTACTTGGGGCCAATAAGGTGTCCTGCTTTTATATTTGCTGACATGGAACATGCTGACAGGAGAAGAAAGCATGGAGGGGACCTCTTCAGTCTGCTGCTGCTCCTTCCCTGTCCAGTGATGGGCTAGGGGCAGGGAGGTAACCAAACTGTGTAGCTTAAATGCAGTACAAAAAGTCAGACCACCAGGCTGCTGAGTTAGAACCGAACACGGGGGTGTTCGGCTCATCACTACTTGTGATGTCTGGCAAGACTGTATTTACCTCAGGAGTAGACAGAAATGCAAATGCAAAGTCTTTGACAGGTGAAACAGTTGACATATTTGAATGGTAATGGTTTATTTCGTTTTTTGCCTGGAGTTTAGCTTTAAGTTTCCTTTTGTCTTTCGGGGTTTTTCATAATAACAATAATAGGCTGACTTACCAATCTGGGAGTTGTTTGTTGGAGTTTCATCTGAAACGAACACATATAAGATTTAGAGTTAGCTTTTAAAAAAAAATGTATTTCAAGTTTGCACTGGTTTAACGAGAGAAGAGACATAGTTGGGATATATACCTATGTGAGATAAGTACACTGTACATTCATGGTATTAATTCTTAGAGCAACAACGTATGGCTATTATAAACAAGGATTTTTTAATGTTGGGTAACTGAGTTCTGAAAAAATGGGTATGGAGAGGGTGTGACTCACTCCCTTACCTCCTATGATGCAGTATTGGTCCCAGCACAATTATGTAGAGACATGGGAAGAGTCCTAAAGCTGGCCATACACTGCTCAAATTTTGAAATTTGAGCTGTGGTTGGCCTAGCAACACCACCTGGCTGAACAAAAGTAAATTTTTCAGTTGACATTTGTTGAAGCCAAGTGTAAAATTGTTGACCAAATGGTGACTGAATCCAATCAGATGCAGTTGCTTTGAGGTATTCAGCAGCCGCGGGTCTAGTCGGCTGCTGAATACAATAGCATCAGGGGAGATTACTTCATTCTGTGGACTGAACAAGAGAAATCCAAAGGTGTATGGCTAGCGTAGTACAGTATAAACTAATTAATAGAAACTTATACAGGGCTTCTTTTTTAATAGAGCAGTAGGATAGGTAAGAATTAGTAGCTAGGAGAAAGGTGTGTCCATAGGTAAGAGAACCAGCATAGGCAAAGCATAGGTTCACATTAAATCAATCCTATCGCTCTTTCACATTCTTGCTGTTACTAGAGTGAGCATATTCGGTTATATAGTTCTCCTTTTAGATGCCAAGTGCCTTCATGTACCTAAGTCATTAGCAACTCAACATGGTTACAGTTCATGTTTGATACAACATCAAAAACATTTTAAATATGAGGTTTTTACATCTGTTTAATTTTTTTGGAAGTATATTTTAGTTATATCATGTATGGCAGCTGAAACTTCAGAAAGGTCAGCATATTGTGGCTTTAGGGAGCAATGCTTTGTACCAATCTCCTGCCCTTTTCACAAATGGAACATTGTAATAATGATTAATCTGTCCTCCATGCAGCTAAATAAATTAGAGGACAGGCACTTCTGTTCTGAGACAGAAAACAGATGACAAGGTATAGTGCTGTGCAGTTTCAAAATTATTTCTCAAACTGTGTAGTATAGTGTTATGAACCAACATGCATTGTTTGTTGCATATTAGGCACCCCACTACGTTTAGTAGTCTTTCCATCAAAGAGTAAAAGTACATGCCAAGCAAAATCTTTTTTTTATTTTTTATTAAATAAGTAGAGTGGTTAAAGTTAAACTCCAGGATGAAGCAAATATGGCAAATGTATTTTTATTAGATTTTTTATGTGCTTTGTGTATTTTTTGCCAGATCTGTGTAGTATTCCAGTGTTAAACATTCATTTTGTGCAGGAGCTTCCTGTAATCAAGACCAGTCACTGCTGCGCTCTCTCTTTGCAGGGCAATTGGTCTTGTATCCACCCCTTCCTGCAGTTTTCTGCATTCAGCCTGTAGTGGGTGAATCCTGCTCGGCCCCACCCACTTCTTTGCAGTCTGCACAGCCTATGTGTAGCATAGTGATAATGTCACTGCTAAAAGGCAATATTGGGGGTTGCAAAGGCATTTGGAGCATACAAAATTGATTTCTATCCTTTGCGCTTATTGAGGAATATGTTTTGAATGTATATTTTTGCATGCAGAGTTGTTTAGCTTTAAGACCATTATCATTTTCTTTTTCTGTCTGTGTCTTATCTGGGAGATTTTCACTTTCTGTCCCTAATGCATAACAGAAAGGAAATCTCTCCAAAGCAAAGGGAAATCCTCTCCTAGACAGTGGTCACTGGAACAGGTGTCACCATTGGAAGATTTTCCTGCATTCTCTTTTTCCATAATAATGTTGAATTTATCATCAGCTTTAGCACAGTAGTCACCAGGACCAATACTGAGAGTGCATATCCCGAGCAGAAATCCGGGAAGCAATAAAATTAAAGAAACTAAAAAAGTTTTTGTTTTACATACACTTTTGAGTGGAACTTTGGGAAAAATAAAAAAAATTATATATTATGATGCAGTCACAGTGAAGTGCGGTACCTCTTGCTTGGGGTGAGGCATTCCTCAGCCCTGTCCCCTCCCTGTCGGACGAAGCCGATGGGGAGGGGACGAAGCCCCACCCCCAACCCATCCCCAAGCTAGTGTAAAGGAGGAAGGGAGAAGACAGGGAGGCTCCGTGACAGGTCACACAGCGGGGAGGATTTCCCTGCTGTGTAACCTGTTAGATGCCGATCTGAATGGAGAAAAAGCCGTAAGCTTCAGACTTGAAGCTGACAGCTTTTTCCTCCATAATTCTAGGTGAGGCTCTGCCTCAACTGCCTCCCCTGACCGCACGTCCCTGGTCTGTCAGTAGCATTTCTTTTTCTGAGTCTCCCCTGTAACATAGTTGTGTTATCTGTTGATCCTGCCAGTTACTATGTTATTTTTCTATTTCCTTTAATCGCTTCCCTGCCAGCCATTGTAATTAAACAAGTGTTGATCACTTGTGTTATGCATGGGAGATCAGAGAGAGGTCATCACATGAGCTCCCTCTGATCTCCCCGCCCATCTCTGAATGCAGTAAGTGATGTATGTTACATCGCATCCACATTCAGCTCTCATTCTCCAACTTCTGTCGCTGGAAAGAAGCTGGTGAAGCAGATCTCTGCTTCATCATCTTCTTTGGGGGTCCTTAGGGGACACTAAGGGTCTTAGAAACTCCTGATGCCTCCATAAAGAAAATCTGTCTGTGAAAATTGGCTATCACACAGGGGGCTTCTTAGCCCCCTATGTTATAGCAATAAAGTTAAGTGAAAAGTTTTGCCTGTGTGCGAAAATGATGATTGTGCCCATTGTGCCACACATGTTACATATCACTGCGAATGTCAGAGTGAGGGCAATACGTTTGTGGCCATCAATCACTGATAACACTAAACTGATGAGCGGTAAAAGCTTTTAAAGTGTTGCATACAGCCAATTTTGGGTATGGTATTTTTTTTTTGCGATTTTGCGGGTGCATGCAATTTTAAAGTTTGACATGTTTGATGTCTATTTACCCAATGAGACCCCATCTTTTATATTTTACCAAATATCTGGTTAAGAATAACTGTTTTTCACATACGTAGGGAAAATAGTTATTTTTTGAAATTTTCTGTACTTTTTTCATTATATAGTAAAAAATAAAAAATTTATTAAATACCGCCAAAAGAAAACTCTATCTGTCCCCACAAAATTGTATAAAATTCATTTCAGTACAGTATTGCATGACGGAATAAATGTCAGTCAAAGTACTGCAGCACTGAAAACCGAAAATCATGTGGACAAGAAGGGGGTTAAACACCTGGTCTTCAAGTGGTTAAAGTGAAATTAAACTCTCCTCCCTTCACTCCCTCCATGGTGCCAACATCTTCTCCCCGGCTTCTAATGTAACATGCACAAAGAAGTTTATTCATCCTGGCACAGCAATGTGCTGAGAATACACAGTTCACTGTACTGTATATTCAAAGAAGGTTGCAAACATGCAGGCAAGCTTGTTTTATTTCAGAAGAGACAAAGCATCTCTCTTCTACACTACAGTGCCTGCCAGCTTGCACTTTTTTTTAGTTTAGTTTAGTTCCACTTAAACGACCAAAAAGTGGCAGTAAGAATTTTGAGACCAACCATTTAACACTGACAGGTTCTTTCAATGGCCATCTTTTATTCAAAGTTAAAACCTTTATCTCCGTACTGTCGCTGTATGTACTATAAAAGTATTAGCTGGAGTTCAACTTTAATTTGTTAGTCACTTATGTAAGTACATCTAAATTTACTAGTCCATCTAACACTACCCTCTACAGAGGTTGACAAAGCTACTGCCAAGAGGGGCTACGCTGCCTTCCATAGATGCAGTAGAGGAGTTAGATGAGAAGTGTATTTGCAGGACTACCAAGTGAAAAAAGGGGAAAAAGACTTAGGGGGCTATTCACAAAAGAACTGAAGGATCCAGCCATAGCTTTGGCTGATCCTTCGGCTCTCTCTTCGGCCGCCGGAGCCCTTCGGTTCAGTGGAACCGAAGGGCTGCTGTACGGGCTATTCACTATAGCCCGTACAGCTGCCGAAGGCGGCCGAGCGGCTCAGCCAAGCTGAAGGCATATGCTTCAGCACGACTGAGCCAAAGTGTCAGCCGAAGAGGAGCGAACGGCCTGCCGAAGGGCCGACCATAAGCCCTGCAAATGACAGACAGCCAGCTGACTCCACCCAGTTGTAACGACAGATCAGCATCCCCAACAATAACAATAACGGAGCCCTCTGCCCAGTTGTTATTCATTGGCCGGGACCTGCTAAAAGACTCTAGCAGGTGTCGGCCAATAGGAAACAGTTGGGAGGAGCTAGCTTTCACTGCTAGCTCCGCCCAATTGTACTTTTTTCTTCTTTTTAAAAAAATCTTTATTTTTTATTTAATCTTTATTTACATTTATAAAATATTTTTGCAACTTTTTTTTCTACTTATTTCACTGCTTTGTATTCTGCTCTGTACCGCAGAGGGGCATTCGGCTATTCACTCACTGCTGTTCGGCCCCTAATTTGAATAGGGGCGAACGGCAGCGAGGGAGCTGCTGGAACTTCAGCTCAGCCGATCCAGATGTTGGATCGGCTGAGTGGAAGTCCTACTGCACTTTGGCTGACCAAATCGCCACCAAAGGCAGCCGATGTACAACTGATTTCAGCAGATGTATGGCTGAACTCACCCGTCCTGAGCCGTAATGAATAATCAAACGTTGTTCGGCTCACTTCACTACGGCTCGGTTATTCACTCGGCTGCCTTCGGCAGCTTTGTGAATAACCCCCTAAAAGAAGAAAACTACTGCAGCCACCACATCTAAAGACTGGTAAGCTGCTGTACATTAATATTTTGTTTTGGGTTTAGATACACTTTAACTAATCAGACCCACCAACAACTCAGTGGTTAGTGTAAATGTAAATGAAA